GCTGCAGGGGGGAGCACCTAAAGCGGAGGGGGGGGTGGGGAGCTGCCGCGGGGGGTCCTTAGGGTGGGGGGGGGTCGGGGAGCTGCCACAGGGCCCGGGGGCGGGGGGGCACAAGGTGCAAGTTTCGCCTAGGGTGCAAAACATCCTTGCACCTGCCCTGGCGCTGTGACAGCCAGCGTGGGCAAGAACACCTGGACTCGGGTCCGGGCTGCCCAGAGCTGGTCCCGGTCCGCACCCAGAGCCTCAGTGCCCGACTGCCCCGGCTGCTTCCCCTCGCTTGTCCCGGCCAACATCCCCGCTGGCTCCTGCGGTGGGGCGCGGGCCCCGGGACCCTCCCGACCCAGGCCGCCTGATGGGTGCGACCCCGCACCCGCCACTGAAACACGGCGGGTCCTGAGACCGCTCTGCCCGGTCCGATCTCCGCCAGTCCCAGCCGGCCCGGGCTGCCGCTAGCGCCGCAAAGCCTGGGACGAGAAGGCCCCGCCCCCGCACGGAAGCGCCCGCCCTCACCTGGTCCGTCCGGACACTGACACGGCCCCGCCCCCTCGCTGCTAAGCCCGCCCCCGGGGCTCTGGCCCCGCCCATGCCCCTTGCGCGGGGACCGGGGCGCTTCAGGGAGTTTCCCCCAGGTCTTGGCAGCTCCAGATTCCAGCCGCGACTCGAGTCGCCGCACGCGCTGCACAGCGACCTGCCGCCTCCGCGGGGTTCGGTGCTGCTGCGCCCTGCCCCCGCACACAGTAAGTGGTGGTCCCGGCCGGCCTGGGGAAGGGAGCGGGGCCGGGTGGGGGGTACCGGCTGCTCCATTAACGCCGCCAGTGCTGGGAGGGGGCTGCGGGGACAGGGCACTGGCTGCTCCAGCCTCCCTGTCTGGCCTGGGCGTCCCTCTGCCCCTTCCTCTGCAGTGCCGAGGGGCTCGCAGCCTTGCCCCGCGGCCGGGCGTGTGCGTCACACGCGGCGAGCTGCCCCGGCGGCGCTGGCTCTGCCCGCATAGATCCGTGTGTGTAATCAGAGCAGCCCGACCCGGCATACAGCCGTTCTCCGGGTGATCTCGCCTTTTCTGTCCTGCCTGGGTTGGCTCCTTTGCTCGTTTGTCTAAAATCTAGTGAAGAGTCTGGGGGCAGTTTATTGCACACGCTGTGCACAGTTCCCTCCCCAGGAAATTGAACTGTTTTAACTTGGTAGGCATCTGATTGTTTGCAGATAAGCAAACGCAGCAGTCAAGTCTTGCTCTTCTAGATCTTGCTTCAGTAACCTAGATAATCATGCGAGTCAGCCTGTTAAAGTCAGTGGGGCCCTACAACCTGTGGCTTCTTTTCCTTCCTCTGGGGGGATCCCTTGGGACTCTGTCCCCCTCTATTTGTTGGCTCCTTCATCATGCTGGTTACTGTACACCGAATTGACTGTCACTGGAATTAGCTCTGACTTTAGAATCATGTGAAGGGAGAAGTTAGGGTCTGAGGGAGAAACCCCCTTAAAGACCAAATATTGTAGTAACCAGCCAACTTGGCATAAAAATTATGCACAGGATGTAAGAGCTAAACATGCATGTATGTTTCCCATATTTGAACATAAATGTGCTTTGAGGGAAAACAGTTTTTCAAACAAGTTGCCCCACTAATTGCTGGCAACAGGTGGCAGAATATGTATGTAGAATGATTTAAAGTTACTAACAGAGAAGAACCCTGAAAAGAGACCAGGAGTCTGGTGGCACCTTAAAGACTAACAGATTTATTTGGGCATAAGCTTTCGTGGGTAAAAACCTCACTTCTTCAGATGCATCCCACGAAAGCTTATGCCCAAATAAATCTGTTAGTCTTTAAGGTGCCACCAGACTCCTTGTTGTTTTTGTAGATACAGACTAACACGGCTACCCCCGATACCTGAAAAGAGAGCTAATTTCATGCCCAGTCTGAGCTGGACTAACATTGGAGTTATCCATGTGTCCCTGGGGAGCAATGATGGTTCAGAATAAATTGTTGCTATTATTTTTTTAGCTGATTTCTAGTTTGACATGTTTATACCTGGAAACACTTGGCTGTTTTCTTAACTATAAAAATATTTCCTTACTGAGGTGCCAACAAGTAAATAAGTGGTGGTATTGTTTAGGCTCTGAAAATTTTCACCTGTAGCAGCTTTGGTGGAATTAGAAAAATCTAGAGCAAAATACAATTACCAGTTGTGGTATTCCACATATACAAGTTGTGGGTATTTTAATTGTTTTAAAGCTATAAAATCTTGCTTATTGAAGTTTATAAAAACTGTTTAAAGCTTACTTTAAATTTAATGGTTTTAGCTTGGGAGGATTTTTTAATTATTTATTATTATTGTCTTGGGATAAAACTTTAAATGTTATAAATAAATTTGCAATGAAAAGTAATTAAATTGCCTACCTTTTTTCTCCCCTTCCTCCCCTCTAAAGAAAAAAAATTGTTTTGTCTGGCAAAAGATCACCTAATACACTGATTAACATATGTAACTTGCTTTTTTCGTAGATTTTTAAGGCCAGAAGGGACCATTCTGATTAGGTTGACCTTCTGCTTTTCCACCCCCCAAAAAACCAAACAAACCTATATCCAGCCCATAACTTTTCCTTGAGTTATCATGTCTTTGAAAGTAACACTACCTGGGAGATGAAGTAAAAACAGCTTTTTGTAAAATATATAGTGTAGACTTACTGTGAGTTAAGGAGAGCACTTCGGAATTCAGTGCAAGGAGCTTTTTCTAGTTGGAAACTTAGACCTTTATCTAGACAGTTGTTAAAGGCATTTGCATGATCAGATTTTTCACTGTGAAAGTTTACATAAATTCCAACAGCCTATGTGTATATGATGGAAATTATATACAAGCATACAAATAGTAAAAAAAAAAAAAAAAACCCAAAAAACCCTATGTGGTATTTCAGTCTGTATAAAAATTTTGCTTTACCTAATGTTGCATGACATTCTGAAATACTATACTTAACAGCCTACAGAAACTGCATACAAATTGTTTGCTCAGTGAAAAAAATCTGACTCGTCTGGTATATAGAAAGAAAAATGTCCATTAGCTGGCTGTTGTGTTCATTGGTTGGATTAACTATTAAAGAATCATTTATCTGTTGTCAGCTTTAAATAGGAAATTCCCTTTGAAAGAACGTCAAAAGCATAGTGGAGTGCTTACAACTGTTTGAATGGGAGACTAGCTTTTTAGCCTCTAGAGATCTAGACTGAAATCCTGTTTAGGTTTTATGTGAAAAGAACTTTATTGTCTCAACCTAATCCCTTGTGGACATCACCAAAACAGCACGACTGACAGTATCTGTTCATGAGGCCCAAGGCACTAGTAGCAAGGGTGTTGCAGGTCAGGTTGAAGTGCATTAAATCCCATGTTAGAAAACTTTCACTAAGCCTACTTGTTTTATGCCTGGGTCTATCCCCTGCTGCTCTTCCCTTACTCTCACAAGCATTAAATCCACCAATGTTTTAGAAAATAAAACATTTTTGATATTTACCATTATTTGTAGTTTTAACTTTTTTATATTATGCATTCTTGTGAAGAACTTTAACTATTTGTGGTTTAAGTTTCATGTTGATATATTTAACTCTTCCAGTAATTAAGGAAGGGCTCATTAAATCATATGATGCTAGAGAGACAATATAGTTTTGAGTCACTATGGTTTCAAGTCAGGTGGGACACAGTCTAGTCCTCAGAGCATGGCCTGGAAGTATCTTGTTGCCATGTGTTATGAAAAAAGACACTACCAAATGTTGCAGATTTCAAAATTTAACTGTTTATCTTTTAAACAAACAAGCTAACACAACATCATGCATGTTACGCGTGCTGAGTACTTTTTTGTGTTTAAAACAAAGTTTAAAAGTTGTATTGAAGATGAGAAAAACATTCTTGATATTGTTAACAGGTCAAATGTGTTGCTGGAAAATTGTTCATGCATGTTTAGTTGTAACTCTCCTGTGGAGCCTCCCTCCTCTGTCAAAGTAAGAGGGCCTAAACCGGAGTTGAAGATAAGATCCAAAGAAGCCAGAAAAGGTATTGGCTGTAATGGTGGGGGGATCAGAATTTGTATTTGGAGGAGGAGGTAAGCTCGGAGGTTTGTGAGGGTGAATAAATTGTCCATGCTGGAACATTTTTTTTTTTTTTTTTTTTTTTTTTTTTTTTTTTTTCCAACTCTGAAGTCAAATTTCATGTGAAACTCTGTTCTAGTAAAACTTATCACAGAGATCTAAGCAGAAGCACATACTGCTCAGATTTCAAACAGAAGCCACCTATGGTTTGCACAGATGACAGAAGGCTACACACTCCCCTTCTGTAGTTGACATCAACTGACTAAACTTGAGCCATAGTGAACATAGTAAGTAAATGTGTCAGTTAGGGGAAAGTTCTTCTTAAGTTTGTACTGCTACACAGTGGGAAATAGTTTTTGTTTCAAATGACCAATGGTTAGAAATGTTATCTCAATCTATTAAATTATGTGCCAATCTGAGTGCAATAAAATGCTTGAGAATCTGTAGTGAAAATATTCTGGGCCAGCAAAATAATACACCGTGCATACCAAAAATACTGAGTAACATACACCTCTACGCCGATATAACGCTGTCCTCGGGAGCCAAAACATCTTACCGTGTTATAGGTGAAACTGCATTATATCGAACTTGCTTTGATCTGCCGAGAGTGCACAGCCCCTCCCCCCCTCCTCCCCCGGAGCGCTGCTTTACCGCATTATATCTGAATTTGTGTTATATTGGGTTGTGTTATATCGGGGTAGAGGTGTATCAGGTGGGTATCTTAAACCAGTGGTTTTCAAACTTTTTTTCTGGGGACCCAGTTGAAGAAAATTGTTGATGTCCATGACCCAATAGAGCTGGGGATGAGGGGTTCAGAGTGTGGGGGGGCTCTGGGTTGGGGGAGGGGATTGGGGTGTGGGAGGGGGTCAGAGCTCTGGGCTGGGGGTGCAGGCTCTGGGGTGGGGCAAGGGATGAGGGTTTGGGGTGCATGAAGGGCTCCAGGTTTGGGGGGGCTCAGGGCTGGGGCACGGGGTTGGGGCGTGGACTTACCTCCAGTGGCTCCTGGTCAGCAGCACAGCCAAGGTGCAGAGGCAGGCTTCCTACCTGTCCTAGCACCACAGACCGTGCTGCGCCCTGGGAGCTGTGCCCAGGACTGGCTCCTAGGCGGAGATGCACAAGCAGCTGCGTGCAACTCTCACCCTCAGGCACTGCCCCCCCCAGCTCCCATTAGCCAGTCCGGCCAATGGGAGTGCGGAGCCGGTGCTTGGGGAGGGGACAGCCTGCAGAGCCCCATGGCCGCTCTGCTTAGAAGCTGGACCTGCTGCTGGCCACTTCCGGGGCACAGCGCAGTGTCGAAAAAGGTAGGGACTAGCCTGCCTTAGCTGGGCAGCACCGCCGACAGGACTTTTAACGTCCCAGTCAGCAGTGCTGACCAGAGAAAAGCAACCCAGTGCCTGACATGCTGCGACCCAGTACTGGGTCGCGACCCACGGTTTGAAAAACACTGTCTTAAACCATCCCCCATGGTCCATTTGTTTAAAAAATTTTTAGAGCTTCATATATTAGTTAGAACTAAAGGGGAATTTCTAGATACATACTTGGCCAAAAAAATTAAAAAACTTTCTAAAGTTTGGCTTTTTGTTCATATTTGGACACCTAAATAATCAGTGTGATTTTTTTTTTTTTTTTTTTTGCAAGTGTAGACGGACTTTTTTTGCCAATTGTCAAAAAGGCCA